GTATAATCTTAAACTTCTCTTACGCTTACCAAGCTCGAAAGACGGGTTTCGCTTTTATAGAAAGGCTATTATCTCGTCAACTATAAGAGGTAGAAATTTGGGATTAAGAACGAATTCTTATTATTTTTACACCATCTGGTCAATACCACTCTAACGCCGACAAAACACCGAAAACTGTGGCGTCTTTGTTAGACCTTGTATAACATATTTTTGTCATTATCTATCGATATACCAAAGATGTTGTTTTATATAAGGCCTCACATGCAAAGTGATGTCATTTAGTAAACATGCTTCTTTGATAAAAGGTGGCGCGTTGTCCATTTCCACTATTAATTAATATTTTAAAATTGTGTAAAACTGTAATAGATATCTTTAGTCGTGGCACTCGACGATAGCGTTTCTTCTTGTTTCTACAAGTTACCGTTTCCGTTGTGTTACTCAGAGGGCTAATGCCGAAATTAATAGAGGTCAATCTATTCCTGGAATCCAAAAGGTTGGTTTTCTTAGTATTACCGAGACGGTGTAACTATACCTTTTAAAAAACGGCTAGCCTTCGAGGGTTTCCTGGGATTTTCGATTTGAACTCTTGCCGCGATCGGGTTTCGCTTCGTTACTTAAAATGGATATTCCTGAGAATGTCAATTCTCTGATATATATGTATATAAGTTAACACACCCAGTTCCCAAATTGGGAAACTGCCGAGTTGCGGGCCACATCCGGTGGCCAACACACGTAATAGGGAAACTGCCGACTCTGCACTCTGGGGGCAATCACCCAGAGCCCGATCAGAAGTGGCCAACACGCGCATTAAAGAAATCGTCGTCTCCGCACTCTGGAGTCAATCCCACGGTTCCCAGCCAGAACACTCCCGCAGCGAGTGATCGTAAGCACCTGGATAACATTGCTGATCCGGCACTTTGGCGACAGCGCTGCGACCGGACGAAGACTTCTAGCTGCAGCCGGATCGGACATTTAGTTTAGTTTTAAATTCAGACTCCACAGCCGTAGCTGTGTAATTATCAAAGAACCAATTATATTATCCTCTACCTTAACAGGTTTAGGAGAAATAATTTGTAACTCTCTAATATTGTAAACCCAAATACTATCCTTTACCTTAATAGGTTCAGGAAAATAAATAAGTGAAATAAATAAATTGTTTTATTACTTAACGGATCCTTGCCCCAACGGGCACGAGTGAAAGTGAGAAATAATTTAAAGGTCGGTCGTAACGTAACCGATTCACCTGATACGAAGTTTAATGCATTTACAAAAGTAATTGCTATCGGTAGTGACAATTAATTAAATAATTGATAAAAAAAACACAAAAGTGCAGTGCATCAAATTGGCAGGAAAAATACGTCAAGAAATTTTGTTTTACGACAAATAAAAAAAACGTGAACAGCAAAAATTCCCCACTCTAAAAAAAGAGAACGAGAAATTCACAAACTTTGTGCAAATAAAAATAAAAACAGTGACAGTAAAGACACAAAATACGGCAAAGAAAAATTGTTTTCTTTCCACGAATAAAGACAACGGGAACATCAAAAAATCCCCACCCTTAAAAAAAAGAGAACGAAGACTTTGTGTAAATAAAAACAAAACGAAGACAGCGGCAGTGAAAAACAGCGGCAACAGAGACAGCAGCAGGCAAAACAGCGGCAGCGACAGCAGCGGCGGCGATAAGTAGAGTAGGCTTTTGTCTGAATTATCGCCAAATAAATAAAAAAATCCGCGACATCTAACTGTGGGAACATTAAGAATTCCCTCTCTTTGCAATTTCGAGTAAAATTTATCTTTCTCGAAAATAAAAACTTAAAACTTACTTAATTATATTTAAAAAAAATTTTATTTCTCTCGAAAATAAAAACCTTAAAAAAATAAATTTTATTTTAACAATATTTAAATAAAACAAAAAAGCCCTTACTTGAATTTTTCTAGGTGTTCCAAAGTAAACATATTAAACATAAATATATTTATTTAGTAGATTTATAAATAAAATTTCCGACTGCCCATGGACAAATTTTTAAAAAAAAAATTAAGTAACGACCCCATGTACCGAAACCATAAAGAAACTGAGTCAGACGACGAGGTTATTGCAGAGTATAGAAAATTTTTGGACACAAAAATACAAAGATAGAAAGCTCAGCAAGAACAAGAAACTGAGACTTATTACCAACCATCCACTAGGAGGGGGGCATTTATTCGACCTAGTATTTTTAACACTACAAACCCACAGCCGCTTACAATGCAGCCAGAACAGATTGCAAGCATGGAGGCCGCTATAACTAGCGCACTCCAAAAAAAACAGGAACTATTTGATAAAAAATTAGCTGCACTTATAGGGGAGCTAAAATCACTCAAACCAAAAGATAGCACCCCACAAAGAGAGATGCAGTGCAACGAACCCCTTGACATGGTCAAGTCGGTTCCAGAATTTGATGGTAGCCAGGAAAATTATATCTCCTGGAGGCTAGCTGCCACCGCAGCCTATAAAGTATTTGAACCATACGACGGTAATAGTCGATACTACCAAGCCGTCGGTATTCTAAAAAATAAAGTGAGAGGATCAGCAGCCGCAGTGCTATCCTCCTTCAATACGGTATTCAATTTTCATGCCATACTGGCACGCCTAGATTTCACGTACGCGGACAAAACTCCGACGCACGTTATTAAACAAGAATTAAGTCTGTCAAGACAGGGAGAGCTACCACTGCTCAAATTCTATGACGAAATAGAACGGAAGCTAACGCTTCTAACAAACAAAACAATAATGACCCATGACGCAACCGCAGCTGCCATCTTAAATGGACAGCACAGAAATGACGCTTTACATGCGTTCATATCTGGGTTAAAAAAATCTCTAAAAATAACCGTTTTCCGGCACAACCTCGGGACTTGCCATCAGCTTTAGCATTAGCACAGGAAGCTGAATCGAGCAACGAAAGAAGTGCTTTTGCGGCCACTTTCGCCCGACATAATGAGGAGAAAAACCAGCGACAAGCAGGTTGGAAAAATCCCCAGACCAAGAATGAAAATACGAGAGCGGTTAAGAACACTCCTCACTTTATTAGAACCCAAAAAGGGGCCAACAATCAGAGTGGTTCCTTTAGACAGAGACCCCACACAAATTCGGGGTCTTACCAGGGTCAACCAGCACCAGAGCCAATGGAGGTCGACCCCTACTCTAGAAGGCTCTTTACTCGGCTCACAACATGGCAAAAAGGGCAGTCAACTAAACAAAAAATTAACTTCATGCCAGAGGAGAAATCTGACAACGAAGATTATGACACCGTTGCTGAAGCCTGTGCCACTGAAATAGAAGACGATCTTGATGAAGAAGATTCGTTTAATTTTTTAGATTAAAATCCCTGCTCCCCTACATTACAAGTACGGTAGCAGGAAGAGAAATAAAACTACTTTTAGACACAGGCACCTCAAAAAATTACATTACTCCAATCCCGGGGCTGAAAGGCATCGTGGCAGCGGAGAAACCCTTTACAGTGAAGTCAATCCATGGCTTCACCAAAATAGATAAAAAGTGCCTAGTTTCGGTGTTTAAAATAAAAACACCCTTTTTTATTCTAAATAACCTTAAAGAATTCGACGGTATTATCGGTCTCGACTTGCTTAAACAAGCGAATGCGAAACTCGATTTTACTGGAAACATTATCCACACAAATAACGGAGATGAAAAAATCCGATTTACAGAAAAACGTCAACTTTATTAAAATTAATGACGAAGATGTCCCCGTGGCAATTAGGGCCACCTTTGATAAAATGATTCCTAAAAATCAAAAAGCCTTCGCTGACCCAGACGAAGCACTTCCATTTAACATTAACACTATAGCAACAATAAAAAGTGATGGGGAACCGGAGCAATTAATGAGAGCAGATGAAGGACAAACAGAATTAAATATTAAATTCCAAGAACGTTTGAACGAAAGTTCGAGCGCTATGAACCAAATTCAAAAATTCGAGACATATATAGAAACACACATTTTGAAAATCATCCTAGCTAAAAATAGAATCGTTATCACTGATTTGGAAAACATTCTAATGGGCTTAACCCTAGCAAAATTAAACATTGTAAGTCCGGCAATTCTAGATGGCTCCGACATTGGCGAATTTAAAGACAAACAGCCTATTAACATTAGTTTAATAGAAATTTTAGAAGTATCTAGTATAAGTGTTTTTCAAAATTCCGATGTCATTCATTTTCTCATTAAATTTCTTAACTCTAAGCTTGTTTGTAGAAGATAACAGTCGATAACGACGACCACTTAAAAGGAGAAGTTAACACACCCAGTTCCCAAATTGAGAAACTGCCGAGTTGCGGGCCACATCCGGTGGCCAACACACGGAATAGGGAAACTGCCGACTCTGCACTCTGGGGGCAATCACCCAGAGCCCGATCAGAAGTGGCCAACACGCGCATTAAAGAAATCGTCGTCTCCGCACTCTGGAGTCAATCCCACGGTTCCCAGCCAGAACACTCGCGCAGCGAGTGATCGTAAGCACCTGGATAACATTGCTGATCCGGCACTTTGGCGACAGCGCTGCGACCGGACGAAGACTTCTAGCTGCAGCCGGATCGGACATTTAGTTTAGTTTTAAATTCAGACTCCACAGCCGTAGCTGTGTAATTATCAAAGAACCAATTATATTATCCTCTACCTTAACAGGTTTAGGAGAAATAATTTGTAACTCTCTAATATTGTAAACCCAAATACTATCCTTTACCTTAATAGGTTCAGGAAAATAAATAAGTGAAATAAATAAATTGTTTTATTACTTAACGGATCCTTGCCCCAACGGGCACGAGTGAAAGTGAGAAATAATATAAAGGTCGGTCCAAATTAACTTATATATAAATACATTTATATATTTGTAACATATATATATTAATGTAGGAACATTATAAAAACAAGAACAGTTATTATTCATATTCCTTGTCTTTCTTTTAGAATAAATCCTCAAATTTCTTAAAATTTTCTACTAACCTTATGCATAGCATTTTGAGGTAAGTAGTTATCTGTAATCATACATGAGACTACTTGTAATCGCAGGAGTGGATCATCAATAATCTCCACAGTGCATGCGTGGTAAATGTTTGCTTGGCATTCCGTAGGTCCATGTTGACAATCAAAAGTTATTCTGTCATTAATTTGGTTTGTTCTCGCCTTGCCATAAGGTGCAAGACGCACCTCCATAATTCGTTCAGCGACCTTATAAGTAGGAAGCACCTGCTTAGTAAGAAAATACTTTGAATCGGGACATAAAGCTTCATAAAACACCGTAACGACTACTTTAACTGACGCTCTGTCTGTCATATTGTAGAAATGGTGATTCTGAAAATAGAAGAAATAAGAATGTCAGATACAAATAATTTAACATCCGTATAATGTATTATATCAATATCAGATTAGCGCAGTTTTTCTATATCGTTTATTATTCCGTGTCCTATGAGTTGGAACTCGATCGGCATTTTGGAAGCGCGCATACACAGCTAAAAGTGGGACATGCCGACGACCCATTTATTCAGAACCATACAGATCAATCTGAGGTTGACGAGAACAACACTTGTAGCATCTGGCACTCCGGCCAACTTGGCCAATGGAGACGGTGGGCGGCAACGGCCACGGACTCCAAAGGAAAGTGGAGTAAAACACAAAATAACCACTGCTCAGGTGGAACCACAAGGACAGGCTATAGACTTCTCGACTACACAGATCATGGAAAGGATTGTAAGTTTAGAGAAGAAGAGGTTGGACAGGGCCAGACGCGGACATGATAAAACCGTATCTAACGGTGTTGCACCCAGGCGAGTGGTTAAATGAGCTCGCTAAGCTGGTTTGTATCATTACGGACTTGCACAGTAACGAAGGGTTTTACATGCGAAAGTGAAATTGGATCTTCCGGTGCAAAGCGAACGTCGGGAAGAACGAAAGTGTTACAGTATCCAGCCCAGAGGTTGCCGCATGTGTGAGGAGCAACACGCTGTCAAGATTAACAAGGAGTTCAATCGGGCGTGGATGGAGTTCGTCAAAGAAGTAAGAGATAAGACACCGAAGTATATTATAGAATAAACAAACACAATGAAGACCGTAACGAAAACATTTGAAATTAAAACGGGCGAGGGCGCCCTAATAACAACGAACACTGCCGTAGTAACAGCGAACGGTCACACGACCCTGCGATTTACGAGGACGGTCACACTACCTTCAGCTTATGCTTGGTGTGAGAAACTTATCTGGGAGTTACTGCAAGAGTCACTAAACTATCAATTTATGCAGACGATGCCATTATTTTTAGCAAATGTAAGAATAACCATAGACTAAGCAAAAAGTTTTAAAAATCCCTCAATGAAATCCATATCTGCGGAAACACCTCCGGTGGGAACCTTGCTGTAATAAATGTTTCATATTTGTAAAAAGGAACTCTGTACATTCCCACCATCTTTGAAAAATAACATAGAAAAGGAACTCCCTTGTTTTCTTAAAAATTCTGGCCTGACAATTGATTAACGACTCATATTTAAACAACAAAGTATTGAACTTAGGATTCAAGTTAACAATAGTCTAATTTTTGTTTTCCTGGATTTGTGGGCGTGGCTAGATGCAAAGAACTCGCATTAAAACCTACGTGCTTAATCCGAACTATCTATCACTTATAGATACCAAGATATCAGCTTCGATAAAAAGGCCGTCTTTATAGCATGGTGGGCGTAAGAATGGGTGTGGCCGGTACCACAATAAGATGCGCTGATACCTCAAGATTGTACATACTTAATCTCAACTTTCTATCTCTAATAGTTCCTGAGATTTCAGCGATTTTAGTTTTTCGTGATTGGTGGGCGTGGCAGGATGCTGAAATATTCTTGCGCTGTCTAAGGACATCAAGAATCTTCATGCTTATTCTCAACTTTGTATCTCTTATAGTTCCAGAGATTTTAGCGTTCATACGGACGGACGGACGGACAGACGGACATTGCTCAATCGACTTCGTTATTGATCCTGATCAAGAATATATATACTTTATAGGGCCGGAAACGCTTCCTTCTATCTGTTACATACTTTTCAACGAATCTATTATACCCTTTCACTTTTTGAGTAACGGGTATAATTAAACTGCGGCTCACCACTCCAGCCATGCTGATGCCGCACTTTTGGGCAGCTGCCGTTGGCGCCGTATAGTTAGTTATCGTGTTCTGTTGTTGTTTGCTCGTTTTTGTTGAGATATTTGTATTTTTGGTGGTGTTGCGGACGTGAGGGTGGAGAAGCGGGGTTATACCTATTGCAGCTTGCACAAGAAATGGGAAAGCAGGTAAAGAGAAGGTAGGGTGCGAGATTGTATTATACACACGCAGTTCTTTAATGTGTGACCTATTTTTTGACATGACTTATAACTAATAGGGTTTCAAATATTTTTCAAATATTATCTTAACCCTAAGTGTGTACCAAGAATGCCCTAATTACTAGAATGGAGGGTATAGGGGTGATATATAAGGTTGTCAAAAAAGTCTTGCGGTATAAAATTGCTTACAATAATGCGATTCAAGTCAAATATACGCCGTTTTGTTCGATGACGCGTTCCCAACGAGATGCCAACTTCATAATGCCCCTCTCATAGAAACTCGCTTCCCTATTGGCAAAAAACTCGGAGCGTGGCGCATCTTCGACCACCTCTACACCAGAACGAAAACGTTGAACCCATCGTTGTGCGATGGAAATGGAAACTGTATCGGGTCCATAAACTGCACAAATTTTATTGGCGGCTTGAGATGCATTTTTGCCTTTATCGTAGTAGTACTGTAAAATATGACGTATTTTCTTTTGATTTTGCTTCATGATTGCGACGCTATAACTCACGAACGACTTAAAAGAAAAGACAATCAATCAAACACGTGTTAGCGCGTGAAATGACCTGATGCAACGAATAAAACAAGAACTACGCGCTTTCAGCGCCAACTAGCGAAAATACCGCAAGACTTTTTTAATATAATATACTATAATATATCGTCAATTCTTTGTCTTTTGTTTCAACACGACCCCACGACGCGCATAATTATTGTCCTTACGAGTAAGTATTTGGTAATACAAGTAATTTGGCAAAACAATTTAATAGCATAGATAGCATAGAAACCATATATAATATAGATGATTATGCTTAAGAAAGTAAATATAGATTAGAAGTACAATCTAACGGAAATAGGAGATAGACATAATATTATATTAATTAATGATCAAAAAAAAAAAAAGACAGTTCATAAGGATAGACTAAAACTCTTTATTTCATAACCAGATTTAGTATGGCCGTACATAGATAATAACATATAAATATATAAGTTAACTAAGTCAACCGGGCGACGGCAATGACCGACTGTCCGAGAGTTCGCTCCGGCCAAATTGCTGACACAGCGTCTGGCCGGAAGCCCGTGCATAGCCGGCAAGCACTACCCATTGGAGTGGCCGCTATGATTCACTTTTTATGTTAGCTTTAAGTTCAGTTCATTTTGAAGTTTCAATAAAGACAGAGCCATCGCTCTCGCATTTGAATTCCGGCACCGCCGTCACACAGAAAATTACTTTTATTATTATTGGTTCTTGTGCCTTAAGGGCCAACGATAACGGAGGTAGTTCCTCCCTACGTACCACTCAACAAGTGAAAGAAGTCTGCTAGGCGTACCTGCCTGGTGCGCTACACAACCCCTAAAGAAGGAAGGAAGAACACTAGGTCGACCGGCCCGGCACACCCCCTCCCGCTGACGACATAACGAAAGTTACCAGCTACCATTCTAATTGGCGCCCACGTTAAAATTACCCATCTAAGTCGGGGAAATCATGTAAGTGAGCACTTCTGTTCCAAAAATTTTCCGGCATCTGCATTAGTAAAATATTTCAATACGCTATATTTTCTGCAGCTCTATATTAGAGTTTCGTGCTAACATTTTTATAAATAAACGTACTCACTAATTGTTTGACAATTTTATTGGTGTAATCACAAGTGATATTATTTATGTTTTTCATTGTTTGCATTTTTTAAATCTTTCAATAAATATCTTGGTGCCGAATATTAGCGCCAATATAACTACCAGACCACATATTTAATACCCAGCCTAGACGCAAAGGCGCCGCTGGAATATAAATTTATTAATTGTACATTTAATTTACCCCTTATATGTAGTCGTCTTTTTGCTTACGCCTAAATTCTTTGTGTTAGCTTCGCAACAATCTTGGGTTTGTTTTCGTTTCCATCGCTTACCCACCCCACTACGACACTCGAACTCGACACCGCGACGTTTGTATTCCGATTTTGTTAACTCGCCTTTTTTTGTCTTTCGGAACGGCAACTTAGCCACCACGATTCTTTGCTGTGACAATTTCTGTTGCTTATATTTCTGAGTGCTATAGCAGAGACACTTAATTGATAAAAACCATTAATGTCATCTGGCCGAGAACCCGCATTTTACTACTACCACACTGCATCAAAGCTTATACCAATATTTAACGGAAAAACAGAAAATATAACAAGTTTTCTCGATGCATTGGAAATTATAGAATCCATTAAAACGTGAACACGGACAATTAGCTATTTCAATAATAAAAACAAAGCTAAAAGGTGTCGCCAGAAACTTAATCGGAAATGAAACAACTATATCAGAAGTCGTTTCCAGACTAAAAAGTAATGTCAAAGGAAGCTGTAGGCATTAAGAACTTAAACCGATGAATCTACAGCAACGCAACAAAACTGCTAACCATTATACATCAGAGGTTGAGCAGATGACAAAAGCTCTTGAAAGTACGTAGATAACGGACGGCCTACTTTTGCGTTAGCCAGAAGTTTATTCCTCAGTCTGCAGTTAAGGCAGTGACAAAGAATTGCGTTCAATTGATAAGGTAAAACTATCATGCAGGCTGGACCCTTCAACACCATGAATGATGCGATATCCAAATTCGTAAATAGTTGAACGGAAGCAACTAGACAATCAAAAAAAATCACTCCTTATAAAACCGATCCACAGCGTGGAGGAAACCGTGGACGTGGATATTTCAGAGGTATCTTTCGTGGTCGTAATAAAATTTAAACAACTACAACAGTTACAATTATAATAATAATGGAAGAAATCAATATAGAAGAAACAACCGAGGCCGTGGTAACTCGAATCGAGGCCACAATAATAAATAATGTGAGAATTGCACAGAATGCTCCGGGGAAACGCTCAACAGCCCTTAGGTACACAGCAATAAACAATTAATCTTAGTGTAAATATATTCGTAACATTCACAAACTTAAGCAAAGGCAATAAATTAATATTTTTGATAGATACTGGTGCAGATATATCTTTGTT